TATAATGGACTTGAATTTGATGATAAATCATTGTAAACAAATACGATTAAAAAGATTCTAATCGGGTGCGACCAGCTGCCAGCTTATATAATTATATTACATCTAAAAATAATTCACGATGTTGACGGATTTTGTCAAAATTTTTAAATTCAAAAGCTAATAAAATAAAATTATGAATATGCATTTTCCATACATTTTAATCACTGAAAGACTGAAAGTAAACTTGTGATTTGTGACGAATCTTTTGTTATATTTTCAGGTCCAWAGATAAAAACGTATCATACATATATAATAAGTCTGATAAAAATTCAAATAATTGGAACAGTTTTGAAAATGCATACCTAAATAAATATTTTTATTTTTTAAATGTCAAATTATGGTTATTTATTTTTGAATTGGAACAAAAACAATATTAATTGTGTAAAAAATTATCCACTATAGATCCAATTTGCTACCAGAAACAACCCTCAAAATTAATTATCGTTGCATTTTTCTTTAGGAGTAAAAAAAACATACGTTTGCTTCACTCAATACAAAAAATTATATTATTAGATGAATAAAAAATAAAATTCTTCACTATTCAAATGAGATTAAAATTATTCATATTATAATATACGTATAAATATTTACACGCGGAAACCAGATTCTTCTAGTATTACTTATATATAACTGATAAAAGAAAAGATATTGAATATTCTGGGAAATCGGTTGACAATATAATATATATTTKTATTATTAAATTATTACTTATCTATGAAAACGATACTTATTGTCTTGTASTATAATACTCGTATGACCATGGACTTTGAATATAATGAAGAATTATAATGTATCAACCGAAGTAAAACACGCAACTTTCATGTCATTTTTACTATCTAGTATCAAAAAATTCTCACGACGGATTAATGAATTCGTCGAAGTTCAATTATATACGTACTATATATATTATGTTTATATTATCATCATCATACAGCACATAATAAAAACGCATGTAGTAGTGTAGTACCTACTGTAATACTATTCTATCAGTTATCACTTCTCTGAACAAAAACTTTATTTACATGTTTCGTAAATAGTATAATGTAGATAATAGATATGCACTGTAGCGTTATAGGTTTATCGTATAATACACATGTCGACATCATATTAAAATGTTATAACACATCGTCCTTTAAAAGGCATGCTACAATTTGGCATAAATATATTCTTGAAATTTTGACTAATCGATTCTTTTAAAATCTTAAGWATCTATCTACTGTTAAAAAATCTGCTCACTATTGGCTTAATGATGAACATTACTGACGAATACCTATTAATAAATAGGTAAGGGAGTACAACAAGTAAATATATTTTGCTATTTAATATATACCAGGTACGATAAATATACCTATTAGTATAAATTACTACCTCGACTAATACTGTCTTATGAGTAAATTAAAACTATAAGCTATTAGACAAAACGTGACAAATTTTAAAAATGTGCAATCCGTATTAAAAGTAAATTAATATCCAATAGAAAAAATATTAGGTTAATGCCTTAATGGTACCATATGAATGATATTCGTMTGAACATATTATTATGATAAACGACTGTCGCATATAATGAGTAAATAATGAATAATGAGCATAGAGTATTATACATAGTTTATCCCGAGTCTATGGTAAATCAATGGATGATGAATGATGAATGGTGAATGGTAGTTTATGAATCATAACTTAAAAATAAACGCACTGACAACTAACCACATAATATTTTAATTATCATACAACTTAGTAATACATTATTCATTACAAATATTTTAACTATTATGTTAAGTCTAGGTACCTATGTAAGATTTAATTATAATTAATTCAGCAATTCCTAATATTTTACTTTTATACATTTATACTATTATATAAATATATTTATATGTAAGAAAACTTGAACCAATCGTTGAGTACATTTTTAATTACCTATATAGTAAATAAATACCTACTGAA